TTAAGTAATTATGGAGAGTAGTTTTTGAAAATTCAATTAGTATAAATAAGAGCCTTGGGCTCTCATATTTCTTGCACCATTCTCTTGATTCAAGAGTCTTTCTCTCCTTATCCCCCGAGCATTTCGGTCCCTCGTGATTCGACTTCTCTTTCTGTAGTTTTAGTATAGTAAGGTGAGCGCTGAAACGCTGCGCGAATCTTTCTTAGAAAGATTCAGCGACGAAGTTCTGCCCCTGCAGAGCCCGACTCCTAGCTAAAATCCCCTTGAAAGTAAGTTATGCTTACCCTATTTTAAATATAGTTTATATTTAAAATTAGTATTGTTATTATAAATTTATAATAAATATTTGAGATATTATTATGACTTATATAAGTGTCGTTATAATATCTTTTAACTACTCGCGGTACGGGGAATCTGGTTTAAAGGGCTGCATAGGGTTGTTGGATTTCAGAAGTGCTATACGCCAAAATGGTCCTGCCCTCCGATGTTTTATGTCTGGCCCCTGTCTGTACATAGTAGTTGGAAAGTATTGTTTAAACGCTTATATAATAATAATAATAATAATAATAATAATAATAATAATAATAATTAGTCACGGTAATATTAGACTAAAATCTAGTGGTGATAATACTAGGTTTCGTCAAAGGAAATTATTTTAAAGTAAACGAAGCGTGTCCGAGTACCGAGTCACCACCTTCTCAGGTGAGTGCATAGTCCCTTTCATCTTACACATAGATATGAAGTATTTTAATATAAATTACGTGCTATGTGTGCATATTGTCTGAATACTTGCTGTCTATGCTGAGTGAAAGATTTTATACATGTTTTAAATGATTTAAACTATATATGTATTTTATATCTACGAAAATGTTGGGGTAAAACATGGGTATATATAATAGATGAAATATGAGTTGGATGATGAGTTGAGAGGTGATATAGACTATAAGGTGTGGGTGAGAGGTGTACGATGTGAGAAGCCTTTTTCCCAAACGATGTCCCCGTCATTCAGTAGAGTATGGATGACAACCACGGACTATCCTAGATAGTCCAGTGGAACACTATCAGGCTCGCAACCTGTAGGTGCTGTGAACGATGTGTTCACCCGGTGTACTCTAAACCTTGGTGATCATGCAGACTTGATACCTAGACCCTGGCGATCATGTAGACTTGATGCCAAAACCTTGGCGACTATGCAGACTTAGTGCCTATTGTATAAATTCTGGAGACTATGCAGACTTAGTGCCTAAACCCCGGTGACGATGGACTTCGTGCCGATTCCTTAGGATGATCCTTAGGAATGTATGAACGAGGAATAGTTGATTCTTAGGGTAGATCCTTAAGAATAAAGCAGATAATAGGGATGGGTAATTGGGTTGATTGTTTGATTATTTGAAAATAATAATTTTATTGTGGGTTGAAAACCCTATGTACTCACCAGGTTTCCCAACCTTACCCACTCAGTTTATTTGTATCACAGGTGTCGATATGAAGTCACATTTCACTGAGAGATTTAAAAGAGATGTAGATCACTAGTGTAAATAAATGTAAGTTCTGTTTATGCTTATGTTTCTGTATTGACGATGACATCCCAAATGTTTTTAAAAGTGAATAAAAATATATTTCTTTAGAAATGCTTTGACAACGCGATTATCATGTTTTTCTGGGAACAAATTCCGCAACATTTTTATTAAAAGAAGTACTCTGATTTTTATAAAGCATAAACAAAATCGGTCTTTTCTGATCGTGAAAATGGGGATGTCACAAACTAGATAAGGATAAGGACTGAAACCCTAATCTCTACCCTATATAAATACCCCTTGGCTAAGGGAAATCGGCCACTTGAACCTTATAAGGCTTAGATCCGATTTCCTGCCTCTCCCCCTCTCTCTCTCTCTCTCTCTCTCTCTCTCTCTTCCCTCTCCATTTGCTTATGGTGTTTGTGAGCCATTAGAGGTACTACACTTGTGGTACTTGCTTTCAAGACAAAAAGATTGAAGATTCTTGTTGTTATTACAATCTAACAACAAGAGGTATGTAATCCTTTTTATTACAAAGATTTTGAAATACCTAGATGCATGCTAGGGTTCTTCTTGTGTTCATAAAGTTGTGTATCTAATAGAGAAAACATAGATCCAAATCTAGGGTTGCATGCATACATAGGATTTTTTGTATAAAACCCATTAGTCGTATCAGAGCTTATGGTTAAATTGTTTTCAATTACAATTATATAATTGTATGAATTTGACACTTTAGGGTTTATGGCCAATAATCCCTAAGAGGCAAGGATTTCGAAATTAGGGTTCTTGAACCCTAGTTTCGAATTTTTGATAAGGGTTTTCATACCCTTTCCTTTTTGCCCAAGATTTCAAAATCTAGGGTATGCAAACCCTAGGATTTTCGAGATTTGCCTCCTCCCCAAGATAAGATCCTAAATTTTATTGATTTGGATAATCCCATATCTTGTAATTATCCTTTAATGGTTAAATATGGTAGTTAAAGATTTTGAATTTTCCTATCCCATGATTTTCAAAATCTAGAGGGATTTAAGGGATTAGGATAAAATTAATTGTTTAGTTTAAGATAATCCTTTATGATTTAGTAATTCAAATTAATTGTTTAATTTATATCATGTGACAACCCGAAATTTTCCATCCAGTTCAGTCTAACACGTCATTAAAAGTCAAACTCATTTATGCTATCTTTTAGCACAATTTGGAGTTTATTTGAGTGTTTTGAGCCTTGTACACTTAAGGAATAAGTGTCGGGGTTTATCTGTTGAATCTATAGCTCAAAGAACAAGTCTGGAACACCTTGACCAGGAGTTCACGTCCACCACATGGGAGTTTACGACCGTAAACTCTATGTGGGCCGTAAACTCCTCCTATAAGGTGAAGTCTTGGCCATTTTGTTCATTCCTTTCTTCCTTTTGGCCCAAATCCTCTCAACTATCATCCCGATCTTCGTCCCTGATCTTCAAATCTCATAAATTTATTGTCTTAACTAGCTGATATCTTACATGAACTAGTAATATTACATGATTTCATCCGTGAAATCATTCCATTTTGTAGATCTTCAAGTTTCACCAAGAACACCAAGAACATACATTAGTGTTCTTGGCCAAAAAACGACCATTCAAGCTCCTAGATCGTAAGTACTCTTGTTCCAACTCATTGTACACTAGGCTTAGCATGCTTTGGGCTTAGAAAATATAAGGAATCACATGATTCAAGGAGTTTACGGCCAAGACATATTCTTGGGCCGTAAACCCCTTTTAAGGGAGCAAATGACAACCTAACACCTTAGTAAGCCTTGGAACTTAGCATATAACCTTACACCATTGAACTAGGGACTTCAATACACGAAATGGTACATCATACCATGAGTTTACGGCCATAAAGTCATGGGGAAGTCGTCCCCAGGCCGTGAACACCATACAAGGCCATTCTTGGACCTTAAACCCACCCAACCTCTTGTTTAAGCCTTGGAACACTTAACCACTTAACTCAAAATAGTTTTAAGCCTCATTTGATGACCCAATTGAGAGTTTATGGCTAGGAGTAAACTCCCCTCGACACTAAACTCCAAAAGTCATGGTCCATTGACCATAAACTCCCTTATATAGCCTTGCACTCCTTTCACTACTAGAAAAATAGCCTTTTACGACGTTCATTGCGCGTCGTAAAATGCTCAGACGACGCGCAAATGTGCATCAAGATATGACAAGAGACGATGCACAAAAGTGTGTCGTCTTGAGACGAAGCGCATTTACGACGTGCATTTATGACACGCAATGCGTATCATTAAAGCCGCTGTCAAGAAAGGCCATGTCATAAATGAAGATGACACACATTCTTGCGTATCGTAATTTTTATTTTTATTTTTTTAAAAAAATGATTTATAGATTTACTAATTTTCAAAGTAAATTTGCACTTCATGTCTCATAATAGAAAATAAAATACCATATACAAAAAATACAATCCATTCCACAAAAGTTAATGTCATACAAAATACAAAATAAAATACAATAAATAAGAAAGATAATTCATTGCACTAACATGTCAAATACAAATAACCATCCCTAACTATATAAACTAATACTACATTGCTATTACGGGACATCATCATAACTCACTGAAGGTCTTGGAACAATGTTCTCGTCAGCAACTCTTAGATCAACCTTGCTTTAGTAGATGGTCTTGGAACAATGTTCTCGTCATCAACTTGTATATCTGCCAAAAACTTGAAAAAACAACAAATATGTAATGTTTATATATATAACTTGAAAAAACAACAAATATTTAATGTTTATATATATATATATATATATATATATATATATATATATATATATATATATATATATATATATATATAAAACAAGAACATATTGAAAGTCATAAAATAACACATGCTAAATGTTCATATTGTTTATTATTTTAGATATGAAGATGAAATAGTACTAACTACATATATATAACAAGAACATATTGGAAGTCATAAAATAACACATCCTAATTGTTCATATTGTTTATTATTTTAGATATGAAGATGAAATAATACTAACTACACAACATATGATCATTGAAAATTAAAAAATTATTCCTCATCAAGCACTCCCAAACATTGAAGAAAAGAGAAAAGAGAGATTTTTGAACACAGTTTGGTTTTTGTGATCGAAGAGACTTATTTTGAATGTGATGAATTATACTAAAAGCTATGAGAAATACTGCAAATAGAAAATAATTGGTGTCATTGCATCAAAAAAACTCCATTGCACGCTCATGTGGACAAAAAATGTAATTTACTCGATAGATATTTTCTTGGAACGGGGACCAAAACTGTTACAAAAAACTCGAGCAAAATTGCAAAAACCAATTATACTTAAGTACCAAAATGTAATTTACTCTTTATTATATTTGAAGTGTTTACATAAATGTATATAGTAATTTAGTATAAAAGGTAAGGATATTTAGTATTAACTAACTCAAAAAAGAAATAACTTACATAGGGTGAAATGCAATGGCATTTATAGGGTAAATAATGTCTCTTCCAGCTTCTGATTTACTTTGACACTTGAATGCATATCTGAATAAATCTTAAAACCATCAATTTCCAACACTAGAAACTAAAAGTAGCTAAAAGACAATTGATTGTAAAAATTGAAATAGATTTTTTGTTTATGAAATGTGTAACAAAAAAATACATACTTTTTGGCTTGACCAGTCTCAGTAAGCTCAAAAAACTCCATTGCAACACGACCTTCCACAGAGCTAAGTGCATACCCTGCAAAACATTATCTTTCATCAATTAGGGTTTAGGGTTTTTTAAGATTTAGGGTTTAAAATTAGGTCAAAATACTAGTGCCATTAGGATAACATTGAACACATCTAGTTTGATATTTCAATGAAGACTCTCTTCTTTGTTCAAGTTGAGATATATTCCTCAAATCATACACATTAACATGTCTTCCAACAGTTGCGACTACTACACGGTTTCCAACAAGTGATATAGAATAAACTCTCTCTGGTTTTCCATATGTCCCCACAAGAGCACGCTCCTGTGCACCTCCACCACGTGGGTCCCAACACTTCAAAGTTTTGTCCAGTCTCCCTGTAATTACTTGCCGTAAAAACCACCAACATGTCACACTCCTTTAACAAGAAAAATAATTAAAAAAAGATAAAAAAAAATGATGAAAAGAATGAAACTAACCAGTTGCATAAGAGTACTCGATACAATGAACAGGGGCATCATGGCGTCCCAAAAGATCCTCCCTTTCGTGGTCAAAAACAAGCCTGAGAGATGTAAAAGGAATGTAGCTTGAAACTTAGTCAAGAAAAGGATAAGTCAACAATCCAAGAAAGTATATGCATCATTTAGTTATACTTCACTATGATCTCGTCTTAGGGGCTGTAGCTAAATTGTTAATAAGCACTAACTGGAACATGCACGGATGGATAAACAAAAACCCAAGACTAATATGGCACTAATATTAAATTAGATTGATCTTTTGCTCAAGGAAAGTAAATTGCTCCTAAACATAATAATAGCGATGAAATGAAAGGAGTTTTATTAATATGAAAAGTAAAACCCTGTCATTAGTATCAACACATCAAGACCAGATTTTACCATTTCATCTCTGTTTTCACCTTAATGATAATTGTTGTATTCCAAATTTGTTAAACGCTGCTTGAATTGAATGAAAATAATGTCACAGTTTTTTCTTTGTTCTGTTAGTAGCTATTATTTTCACTAGGGTTTAAGCTATAATCATTGTTGAAAACTGATAAGCCCCCACATTTCTGTTATCTTTTTGCCCAGGGGTAGAATGGTCTTTTCTGGTATTATGGCTGTTATTGGCTGTTTTGTTAGTAAGAACAAGAGAAGAAAGGTATTAAAATACAATATATGTTATACAAGCATGGCATGGGATGTAATATTTTCAAAGCATGGGAGGATTGGATTTAATGGTTATTAAATTCCAGAAAAGGACAAGAAAATGGAAGTAGTTTGGATGTTGCAAAATGTATCGATGTTTGTTTGGTGGGATTAATAAAAGGTTTGGTGGGATTAATAAAAGGTTTGTTAATATATATATATATATATATATATAATGTATAGTTAACAAAAAAAAAAGAGAAAATATACATGGGTGTAGTTGAGAAAATTCTTTTGCAACTCAATCATAATGAGTGAAATGTCTTTCTTAGAGTCAAGAATGAGTTGCGCCTTTTCCTTTTCTCCCGAAATCACATATTTAGTTTTTGTGTTTGGACCTGATTGAATGCAAAATTAAATAAGTAAATAATAAAAGTCAACCATGTGATGAAATTGAGAATTTAATCAACTGTAGAATTATGTATATATTTACAAGCATTGACTTTGTAAAGAGCCCTGCTTATCTTCATTAATGTAGAATTAATACCACCACAAAGACCATTTCCTGAAGAGATTGTGACTGACGATCACATTCTTCTTCACACTCACACTTATCATAAAACAATAAATAAAATTTAATTCTGTTTCATTTTCTACCATTAATAAAATTATAAATAAAATTTAATTCTGTTTCATTTTCTACCATTGACAGCTTCCTAACATGTAAATGGAGACAAGACTCAAAGAGAGATAGGAGGCTTCATGGTACACCCTTTACCCTTCCTTATATTAGTTATGCTTAAATGCAAATAAATAAATAAATAAATACATAAAGCCTGGATCTGCTACTTCATGAGCGAATTCATTCCCCAATGTTTCATCATTTAAATGTTCAGATCTAAGAATCTTGACAACAACATGCTCACCAAGGTACTCTCCATGGAATATTTCAACAAACAAAATAACTGATATTAAGATACTTGTAAGAATTAGGAATGCAATTGGAAAAAAACAATGTACACGTACAAATCTCCACAAGATCCAGATGCAATCTTTTCTCCAATCTTCAATGATGCTCTGTTTATTTTTGCATCTCCAAAATGGGCTTCAGTGGCTAAAGCTTTCTGTACAGTTGATATAGAATCTAAAAAAGAACCAGACCATGAACCCTACAAGGTAAACAATAATCCAGTTTGTACATATGTTTTTGTCTTAAAATAAGACCCCAATACCCTTTAAAGAACACCATGTGATGAAAATCGTAGTAAATGGAAAAAGATTTTACCTCGCTTCTAGAAATTGCTTTCTCCATGGCTTCGTGTAAATCAATTGATTCCTGAACACAAGGTTGCACAATCAGAAACAGTCATATATGAGTATTTTGATGTTAGAAAAGAAGAAGAAGAAGAAGGACAATCTAAACATATGAGGAAAACAGCCGTGTGAGGGATGTGGAGGCACACCTGCAGTAGATGATGAATCTCTGGAGGCACACCTACAGTAGATGATCAAGTTCCTCATTCTATTCCTTTGAATGGCTCTGGAGGCACACCTGAAGTAGATGATGAATCTCAAACCATGTGATCTTGATAGAAAAATAAAAACTGAATACAAATTAGGGCTCATATAATCAAATCTCGAAAATGAAGTCACCTTTCAGAAAATGGTGGAGCAGGTATCCTTAGACGATTTGAGTTTAGGTAACCGACGTTTGTCTCGGGGAAGGGAGAAGAATCGGTAAGTGCCAAAGGGAGATAGGAACGGAAGGAGGTGAGATCTAGTGTTCGAGTATGAGATGTAGAATAGTGGAGTTTCTGGTGAGCCGTGGACGCCATAGATATGTAGAATGGAAGGAGGAGAGATCTAGGGTTCGAGTATGAGAAAGAATTATTATAGAGTCTTCGGTGATCGAATATCATCAGTTGTACTCCAGACTCTCAGATCCTTGGGTTCGATGGTGAAGGCGATGACTTAGGATTTGCAAAGAGAAGGGAAGGATAGAGTGATCGGTCGGTGGAAATGTAGAAGAGAGAACGTGCAGTAGAGGAAGGCGGGGCAAGTTCTTGAAAAAAGCCCTAAAAAGGAAGGCGGGGTTTTTAAGTAATTAGGATTTCATTTTTCCCTCCGGATGGAACGCGCTACTATTAAAATTTATAAAGCGACAGTATTAGACGACACACGTTTTATTATAGGTGCCCTCCGTGTTTTTTTAGACACTAATTTCAGGGCATCTAAATCCTTTAAATTTTAAGAGAGATAACATTATTTTTAGGGCACCCACAAATTCGCGTCCTCTATCAGCGAGTGTCATTGTTTGCGCGTCATTAAAGGGCTTTTTTCTAGTAGTATTTGTTGAAACCCGATAACCTCCTAACACTTTGACCAAAGTGTTTTCCTCACGTTAGGATGTTTATACATGTCTAATTAGTGTTATAATCACTAATTATATATATATACATATGTCTTCATATGTTATTAGGATCATTGTGTGTGTCTAAGTCTTCACTTGACACCAAGCACTTATCCGACACTTCCATCCGAACCACTCACTGCAAGTGAGTTCATACCCCTTAATTAACCTTTTAAATGTTTCTAAATATTTATAAATGCTTTATGGGGGGGGGGGGGGGAATACAAGTTGAATCATGCTATTTGTTACATCAATCACATGTGATTAATAACTAGCATGCAAATGGATTTACTATACGTTAACTATTTTACCAAACAGATTTCTTCAAATGAATTTCATAAACGTTTTTACATGTTAAAACTCTTTATCAAACTGCTTTACATACTGTATGTTTCCTTTCAAACTCTGTTACAAATGTGTTTGCAAATAAAGGTTTTCCTTATACTTAAACTGTCTTATCAAACAAAATACTTTCAAATCATTTTATAAACTGACATCAAGTCATCGTTTCTTAGTATTAAACTTTTCAAAGGTTTTACAAAACTTCTTTATGCTTTTATATTGTCAAATGCATGCCTAGATATGTATAGTTATATAAATAATGTTTAAAGGACTTAGGAGGGTTAGCTCGCTTTATTTCCTTTTCCTCGTTGGGATGTGGCCTTAGGGCATCAGTTGCTCGTCCGAATGTCATCTAAATATTAGCTATATATCATGTATAAATATATAGACATAAAAGTTCCCTCTGTCAGTTCAGTACCTTTGGGTAGCAAAGGCATACTTTCGGTTATATACGTACATTACTAGTAACTATAATAGGTATAGTTAGGAGATAATACTTACCATTCCAAGTACAAGGAATCACACAAGAGTCAGTTCATTCATGAGTCTATACTAATACATTACATGTTACATGAATACATTTACATAGATACCCTTACATGAATACGCTTACATGAATATTTTACATGAATACGTTTACATAGATATGCTTACATATATACGCTTACATGAATACACTTACATGAATACGTTTACATAGATACACTTACATGAATACGCTTACATGAATATGCTTACATAAATACGATTACAATACAGGATAACAGAACAGACATAACAAGGTGCTATAGCATGGAACAAGTTCAGGATCTAACTATACCAATGAATCACTAATGCATTTTGATAGTTATATTCAGTATATATGATCATAATAATGTGGATGTTCACGGATTGCAATCATGCAGGGGTTGCGTTTGGTTGCCAAAATCTCTTGACAGGGAGCGTTTAGTATGGGATCTAGCCATCACATTATGCCTTAACCCCCAATTAAGGCAAATTAGTAAAAAAATAGTCACTTATTACAAATACTACAGTACTTACACTGTATATACGACAATTACAAAAGGATAAAACTCCAGTTAATATATTATTAATACCTTTACCATGTGTCATATTCACATAATCGATGAGGTAGATTAGATAATTATAATAATAGTCATACAGTCGGGTCTTGGTAGAAGGCTACTTTCAAAACAGTCGCGTCTTGGTAGAAGGCTACTTTCAAAACAGTCGGGTCTTTGTAGAAGGCTACTTTCAAAACAGTTAGGTCTTGGTAGAAGACTAGTTTTTATACTAGTAGGAAATATGAGATTTTTCTAGGGTTTTCAAACGTTTATAATTACTTACAAACATTTTCACACTTATACAAAATTTTCTCCAAATGTTTACAAGTCTTTACTTTACAGTTTTACAAATCAAAGACACATTAATACTTATGAATTCACCAGCTATATTGTTGATACTCGCTTTCAAAATAACTTGTATTCTCAGGTCACAAATAGACAGGTATGACGACCAAGTTTTGTGAAGACGGAGCAGTCAAGACTCGTCTTTTATTTTGATTATTCATTATGTTGTCTTATACTATGAAAGAACACACATGTATTTAAAATTATACTATTAATGCAATGGATGATGTTGTTTCTTGTTTACTACTTTACATTGTTGTGATACATTACATGACGTTCTCCGCCCCAGAACGCTTTCGCCGTTCTCGGTTTTGGGGTGTGATAGATCATTATTAAATCAAGAGTTTTAATATTTAAAATTTTAATTTAAAGGTTATAAATTTCGAAAATTTTAAACTGAAATTAAAACCCTAGTATTTTAAAAATGTTTAAAATACACCTTATACTATTATATTATTACAAGACTAATATATATATATATATATATATATATATATATATATATATATATATATATATATATATATATATATATATATAAGTCTTACCGTTAGTAGGTCACATGCACGAAGTCGATCTATAAGGGGGGTATAAGGTTATGGCCTATAAAATGGTCGTTTAATGGGTATCCAGTCTTACCCACTGCTTCCTTGATTGGTGGAGGTTCATCAGCCGAACAGGTAGGATAGGGCAATCCTCTCTTCATTAATAAGTATAATGAAACTATATAAAGTAACTAAAAGTTTTTACAAAATTCCCAATCCTAGTTACTTTAGGCAAAAGTGAATTGATTCAATCCCATGATATTACACTTTGCACCCTTGCTAAGAAGTTAGTGGAGCGTGTGTGGTTAACCGACACACTAATTGATTGTAACACCGTAAATTTAAAAACAATTTTTTTTTCATTTAAAATAATCGTTTAATTCTTAAAACACTTTTCGTAGAAATCTCATTTCTGTTTAATTTACAAAACATAACTCCATATTCAATTGTATAATAAACCAGGATCCTCAAAACATAAATCTTCCTCTGGCAAGCAGAACGTAGTATCCTCACACCTAAATCTCGAACTCGCGACCGCCTAACACAGAAGTCAATATCTCCAATTAACTCTTGAAATCTCAACTCTAATTAACTCAACGTTTCCCTCTCTAATCGGGAAGTGGGTAAAAGACCATTTTACCCCTTCCTAGTCTCCATTACTTATGTTGACCAACCCTCGCAATCAACAGAAGTCAACTCAAGTCAACAACCCCACCTCGACCCAACTCGGCGAGTACACTTTTGTGACTCGTCGAGTCCACTCACCTTCCCGAAGTCTCTTGAAGATCCAGCTTAACTCGTCGATCCGTGTCACACCCCAAAAACCGAAGGCAGAAACATTTCTAGGGCGGACTCCACGTTGAGTATCAAATCCAATGCACATAGTAAGTAAAGTAAACAACCATTGCATTACATATACAAATTTACATTTTTTTCAAAAGTAAAGTTGTACAATTGTAATACATAGTATATGTGAAAAAAAGTAAGACGAGTCTTCTACGCACTCCGTCTTCGCCAAACTGGATCATCGGGTACCTATCTAACGTGGACCTGAGAATACAAGAGGTTTGAAAATCAACATAAAGCTGGTGAGTTCATAAGCGGTTTTGTTTTGTGAAAATGTATGAGTTTCCTTTTTGGTTTCTGAAAATGTTACGACCCAAGAAAATCCCATATTTTCTTAAAAGTAATGTTTGGTTAACTGTTACGTTACACTGTTCTGGTTATGTTCAACTATGATCCTAGGAAAATCCCATATTTCCTAATGTGAAAGATGTATACTGAAAACCTAGTTATCCTTGTAAGTGTGTGTTAGTTCACCAATACCAAATGTAATGTAAAAGATGTACTCTGAAAATGTATTATTTTTAACACGTTTATAAAACTAACATATACCAAGTAAACTAGTTACTTAACCCATTATTACTATTATGTAAATCTCTATTATCCAAATTGCGAGTTCCATAACCATACTAAAGACTAATTATGGCAATAAGTAGTCCATTTCACTCTATGACTTTCGTCACCCTTGAACCTTTCAGTTTGGCTGTAGCTAGCAGCCAGGTTTGGGGTAGTCAGCCCCATATAGATCTATACACTCAAGTTGCGCTCCCTATATAAGAGATTCTGGTTATGGGGGCAGTCCTCCACTCGCGTATCTCTGTGGAGTGTTCACCAAGGACGTGTCTTCAATTATAGCATTAACAAATTTACTAGTAATAATACTGAAAGATTAAATGACTATCCTCCACTCGCGTATTTCTGTGGAGTGTTACCGAGGACAAAACCATGTTCAAATGTTTAAATGTTATGCTTTTAACTGATATAATGTGGGAAAAAAATTTGTGAAAATATAAATACAACAATTTATAATGCATTTCACAAATAACATGATAATGTATTTTGCAGGTTCAAATGGTTACTTGTTACGAATGTCAGTGTTAAAAGCATATGTAATGTGAAATACAATGTATATAAAACAAGTTTTGAGTACAAGTATCACTTGTACTTTGCTTGTATTCCCCCTGAAAACAGTGATAACATTAAAAAAAGGGTAGGGGTATGAACTCAGCAGACGAGAAAACGCGACTGTTTGGATGCTAAACGTTGGTTCGGGGCTTGTTAACACG